TATATATATATAAACCTTCAAGCTTTGTATCTCCTAAGGTGGGAGAGTTACTTATTACATGTTGTCCCAGTTTTCTCCTTCTTAGTCACCTGCTGATAAAAGAAAAAAAAAATAAATCTCTAGATGCAGGAAGAACAGAAAATTTTGAGGATCTTGAGTGGCCTAAAAGGAGGAGATAGCAGTCCCTGCTCACCGGTTTGTGGCCCATACACACCACTAAACATGTTTTCCAGTACTGTCTGTTCTGTGTGTGCGGTTCAGTTCCAACCTGAGTTACCTGCCAGGACTTTGTGCAGTGCCAGGGCCTTCCACGACAAGTCGCAGGGTGGCTCTGCCCACCTGCGCGGAGCTGTGCCTGTGCCAAACCCGCGAGGGGTGGGAATGGGCCAGCAAAGAGCTCCAGACCTGCTGTTTGTTGTGTGCCAGGTTGACCCTTTGTAGGGGGCAGATAATGTCCTAGAGCAGAGATGCTCAGCCTTGCTGGTGAAATGAAGACCTTAACAGCCAGATTTGTGACTGTTGGACCCACCTGGGTGTGCTCAAGGCCTGTTTAGTTAAGCCGGTGGTTAAAAAGTGGTTGTTGTTTTTTTTTTCTTACTATATTTTCCCAGTTCTATGCGAATGATTTCTTCTATGTTTCATCTACAAACGATTGTTTGAATATAGGTACTTGTATCTTGCCTGCTGAGCTATTTTAAAACTAGATGCTGGTGGAGAGGTTTGAAGTACAGCTGTCTTCTAGGCTTTTTCTCCTGCAGACAAGTCTAGGCTTTCTTCTCAAAGTTAAACATCTTCTTGTGACTTTGGGTCTGTCAGGAACTTGCAGACCATGTTACATATATTTTGAGAGCTCAGAGAAGAACAGGGCTTTCAATCTTTCAGCCTGGGCTACTTGCCATTGTCTTGTCCTGCATGTGTGCCTTATGTGAAGTAATTATTTTTATTTATTTTTGGAGTGTGGGAAGTGTGTATGTCCCTGTTTGTATTCCTCTCTGTGCTTATGGTGGAGACAAAGCGCAGGAGATGAATATCTATAACCAGCGAGTGCACTTGTCTAGACTCTTCTCTTACCTGTTGTGTTTATTTCCTTTTATTATTGTGCCTGAAACTTGAAGTCATCCTCTGAATTCAGGATAGCACTGGCATGAGTCCTGAGAAACAGCTTCAGATTTGGCTGAGAACAGAGTTGTTGAAAAGTACTGATGGAGGCTTTCTTTGTGTTGCTTTTAATTATCATTTCTTTCCCATTAACTAGAGACAGATAATTGAAGCTTAGCACTGGAAAGAACATTCTGTAGGAAAGAGCCCTGCCCCAGGAAGGGGGTGAACTGATGACCCTGTAAGCTTTTCTAGCTCAAATTTCTGTGGCTTTTTCAAGAGGAAAGGACAGAAAAAGGACCAAGAACACTTTTGAGATTTAATATCCATTCTCCACTTAAATAAAGAACAGGCACACAGAATCATTTTTCCACAGCGTCGATTGTGTTAAATGGGACTCTCCATTACAAGTAAAGTTACACTGATCTCAGGATAAATATGAGGGATCTGAAAACAGCAGGGAAAATTCAGTAAGCCTGACATAAAAGCGTAGCCAGACTGTGTTGACAGACTCTTGCAGGAGTGTGTGCGAGCCTGCGCGTGTAGAGCAGGGTATAAAGCACCAAACTGCTAATTGGAAATCCCAGCAATGGAATTTGTGGGGGCAGCTGTCAGTCCCATCTCTGAAAGGGTGATCGCCTTGTCAGAAAGTAATAATCTGATAGAGGAAGCAGCAATTAGGAGCTTGAAATTTTTGTTGTTGATCCTTTGTAAATAGAGCAGAGGCAAAGGCTGTAGAGATTTTTTTTTTTTTTTTTTTTTTTTTTAACTGGCTGATGGCATTACAGAAAGCAAAGACATTTTTTGGACTCATGGACCGAGACTATTTGTACTCTCTCCTGTGTCTCAGCCAGTCTAATGAGATGTTGCCTCTCCCTGTCAAATTCTTCTGTACCCTGGTTAATTCTGTGTAGAGCAGCCCTGCAAGGATAGAACAGTGTGTTAGGTTAGCTTGAAAAGGAACCTATTAACAGTCTCATTGTCTTTGAATTCTTCCAGGTCGGATTCGCACAAGGAGACAGAGCTCTGGCAGTGCCACAAGTGCCACCTCAACACCTGCCGATACCCGAGGCCGCAGCCGGGCTAAAGTGGTTTCCCAGTCCCAGCGTAAGAAGTGTTTTATTTCTGAGGGAGCAGAACAAATAGTTATTAATACGTTTCTCTTGAATTATAGTAGTGTCGGATCAGGATTGGGCTCACTTCTGCTAATAGCATATGGACATTTACCAAAGCGAATCTCCACTCAGCCTATGGATGGACTTGTGGACACATAGGGTCCCAAATCTGAGTACTTAGTTGCTGCTGGTTTTTGGGGGGGTTTTTTCTTCAGTTTTTTTTTAACCAGTTGTGCAGCAGAATTTCATGTCACTGTGACGTGTAGGACTAAACTTGCACTGGGTCCCACAGAGACACCCCCTGTGTCTGTAGCTGACAGCTGTCTGGGTTCTTGCCTAGCCAAGCTTCTCCTGCTTATGTGACTCTATTTCTGTATGTGTAACATGTGAGCTGTCTAAAGTTAATGGGATTTGGCATCAATTTAAAAGAGGACATTACCTGTAGATATGGGGGAGATGATTCTGCTCCCTGGTTCACATGACACATCTGCACTCTCTAGCTTCCTGGCAAGATGTAGTTTTCCCATAGGAGCCATAACGTGTGGTACTGCTGCATATTTGTCATGTCTATCTAAGGAGGCTTTTATCAGCCAAACTTTTAAAAGGAATTGGGGAGAGGGAGAAAGGCACATGTGTTTTGAGGACGTTTCAAACTTGTGGGTTAGAGGAGATGCGGTTTGTGGAACAACCTGTTTGTCTTGCTTTGTGCTCCTATTCAAAAGCCCTTTTCTGGTCATTCTCTCATTGCTTTGCTCTGTCATGCCGGAGGGATGGAGAAGCAGTTTATAGCATCGTGTTAGGCAGAGAAAGCTGAAGAGAGAAGTATTATATTCAGGATGGAGCAAAATGAAAAAGTTTACAGTGAGGTCATCAAGGACTTTGGGCTTTGGTATGCTGATCTGAATTGATTCCTTCAGTTTTGAACCTAAAACTGATCCAAAGCCAGAAATTACCTTTTTTCCTGAACCTAGTTTGGTAAAAATGATCAGGCAAAATGAGACCAGACTCAGAAGTGTTTAAAGAATAGTTGAGTATCCAAAGGTTTCAAAGGTTATGGGCTTAATTTATTTATAGAAAGTCTTCAGAAGCTTTAGGATGTTCATATCTGAACTTGCAGCCTCAGTCTAGTTTGTTGAACCCTGGTTCCAGCCTAGCCCAAACAGGTATGATCTTTATCCTTAAGCCAAATCTTGCATAAAATAACATGAATTTGAGTGTCATACAGTCACGGGACCAAATTCTCCATGTCCACACAGTGGATAACCTAGTTGCAATTTTACAGATTGGGCTGGGCTTTAATTTGGAGCAGAACTTGAGTTTTGGCGTGTTGGTTGACATTTAGCTAAGAAGCTGATCAACCTCGGCCAACTGTTAGTTGTATCTGCACAATAACTCACTGCGTTCCACAGAGGCTTCAGGAGTGACATGTTTGTAAATAAATCTGTCTGTATTGTGTATAGCATAAACCGCATGCTGAACGCTGTATTGTCTTGCTGTCTTTTAATCCACTTTTTGCCTGTCCTTTGGTCTGCCCTCATAATCAAGGATCCAGATCAGCTAATCCTGCTGGTGGTAAGACATGTTTTCCCTTTCTTGCTTTCTCACGTTATTTCCTTCGCATTTTTTAACTGCTAAGCTTTTAGCTTCCCTCACTGCTGGCTATGAGGCTTAAAAAGCATTTTCTTAAAGTCATAAATCCAAATGTGTATGGCAAGTGATTTTGCTTTCTTATAGTAATCAGACGTGGTAAGGATACTTTCTGCATATTGAAGCTGAATCGTTGCCTCAGCTTAAACCTCAGGTGCTAAATTCTTCTTCCAATTCCTTCAGTGCAACCCTGCTGACATCAGTGATTGCAGCAGCCAACTGAGAGGAGCCTTGTGTTTCAGGGTGTGGATGCTGTGTGTGACACTGACATTTGTCACAAGTATTCTCACTTGGGGGAGGGGAGGGACGTTGGAGCCAGAGCCAGCAGCATGTACAGTAATGGAGTATATGATCTAATTGATTCAGAATGGCTTTGGCCAAGAAATTGCTGGGGGGGCAAGTAAGTTAAAATACTAAGTCTGTTATGGTATTGTTCTTGAGCTGTATAGATTTGCTTATCTTAAGACAGGAGAACAATATTTAACTGTTGCTAGTCATAGCAGTATCTGAAACTGAAAGTTTTGAGATGAAAGGAAACCAGCATGAATATTGCTTCAGAATGTGAGCTTGCCAAAGTATGTTCTTGCAGCCTTTTCAAACATCCTTTTCTTGTCTGTTTGAGCAAAAAAAATTGAATGTCAAGAATGGCAATATCGGCAGCAAATTTTCAGTGCCTTATATATACCTGAAGAAGCAAAAAGGAGTCTTGAATCTATTACTCGCACAGTTTTTTATGATCACATTTAAGATAGCATTATTTAATTTTTGAACAACTTGCCAAATGAAGATCCATGGGGGGAAAAATGAAAAAAGCTTTATGCAACTCATTGAATTTAGACAGTAAGACTGTATTAGGTACAAATATCTATTGTAGCTGGAATGTGGATGTGTAAATAAATTTGATTTGTAGAATATCTTGCAGACAATATGGTTTAGAAGAAATGTAAGCTTGCCATGGATTATTCAGACAGACAAGGAAGAGTAAACCAGGCCAACTACTCAGTTGGCTAAAAATTTTCTCCAGATGAAAAATAACTAAATAGCTTGGGTTTAACTCAATAAGACAGCATCTCTATAAATATGACAGGCTCACTTTCTTTAGCAAATGTTTGTGGTTTTTTTAATTCACTGAATTATTGCAGGAAAGCAGTGCCACCACTGCAGTGTGGTATGCAGATACTTGAGCTACTTTGCAGCAGGTTACCTGTGCCAGAAGCTGAGACGCTGCAGTGCATCTCTCTACAGAGGATAATTTGCGTTGCTTTGTGAGGAGATGCAGCAGCCTGTGAGTTCTGTGCTGCTGCAGCAAGCTTGCTCCTGGCACGTCCGTAGTCTCACATGAAGCCAGCTGGAGTATTCAGACACTGCAGTGTCTGCTTTGGTCTTGATCCCAGCTGGGCACCGTGGTTCATATAGGCAGGGTTGCTGATGTTGGTCTTTTTATTGTCCATGGGCTTTCCTCAGTCTTTCTTGAAAGCCCATGGGGAAGCACTCCTATTAGTATTCTGAATGATTTGGATCAAATTCTTAGATAGATAGAGCTAACTGTGGTTTGCTTGTGGTTTTTTTTGGTCAAAGTATTTAAAATCTTGGGACGTTTAATATTTTAATTTTTTTCCTCCTTATTTCTGGTTCTCTTCTAGCTGGTAGCCGGTCTAGCTCTCCGGGTAAGCTGTTAGGAAGCGCCTATGGTGGCCTGAGTGGTGGAGCATCCAGAGTCCAGCCGGTGCCATCATCTTCAGAGAAGCGCAGCAAGATCCCTCGGAGCCAGGGATGCAGTCGAGAGACGAGTCCCAGCAGAATAGGACTAGGTAAGAATAGTCCCTGCAGTGACATCCTGACCAGTGTGTTTGAAGGAGGGAGTTGCCTGTTGGCTAGGAACCTGTATATGTTTCTGTCATTATTCTGAGTTTTTCAGCTGGCAAGTTAATGTGATTGTGGTTTGTAGGAGAGAAATTTTAATTTTCCAGGTCGAGCTATAGGTTCAAAGTAGGCCTAAAGATGTCATGAGTTGGCTTCTGTTTGAAATGCAACATGAGTGATGTTATTAGATCAGGCAGCAAAAATGGTTGTCACGAATAACTATCACAGCAAAAATATCTCATTTGACATCAGCAGCTTAGTCCTAAAATGAGTCGAACAATCTTTACAGTGAGTTGGAAGGACAAAAAGCACCTTCTTGGATTATTTTGGAAATTTTACAGCTTAGATGGTTTGCATCTCTCATCCTTTAATACCTTGGAGCCACTTTTTTAGGCAGCGTTTTAGACTTCTCTTTAGTTGTTCCAATTCCAAAATTCTTGTCTCTCTGACTGTTGTGTAAATAGTCTATAATAGTGTCTATTTTCAAATTTATCAGCAGACTCATTTTTATAAAGTCAGGTGAGTAAGCATTATTATATATAAACTTTTATATATCTGAATTGAGGTGAAAAGGTATTCAGTGTACTGTCCGAACAAGTAACTGTCGTTTTTATTTTTTAAATGGAAATGTTTTCATAAGTTTGAAGCCTACGTAGAGAAAGAACACTTTAAATAATACTGTTACTAAATTATTTTGTATCCAAAGTATTAAGTCAGAATTGATTGAAATCATAGCCCTACTGTTGTGAATTAATTTTTTTACTATTGCCTTAGCAATTGTATTTTGCATTTAAGCTACCTTTTTATTTAGAGTATGTTGTTAGCAGAAAACCATCTTATTTATTCTTGAAGTATATTGAAATGAATTTAAAGCACCTGAGTGCATATGCTGTTACGATTCATAGAACATATTGCATGTTCATTGTGATTATTTTTTCCAAATTCAATGTTCTTATGTCTGATCTATTTTATGGCCTCTGTATAAATACATTATGCTTTTCTGTTTGTTGCTTCTAAAATGTAAAGTACCTCCCCAAATATTTGAGGTAATTGTGCTATCACTGTGCAGAAGAACATTTTTTTTTTTAGTAGGAAAAGAAGAACAATGGAGAATGCCATCACACATGGTTAAGCTGATCATCACATTGTGTACTCTGATTTCAAAAAGTCTTGAGCATCTGAGAGAAAATTGCCTTGTGCAGAATCCTCACTCTTGGGTTGCCTGCTTTTGAGTATATTATGGGAGCCTTGGATTCTTTTGAAAGTGTAGTTTGTATCTTGTGCTGATGTGCTCCCAGCGATCACAGTAAGTGCTTGTTCTTTGGGAGTGGGAGAGAGCTCCAACAGATCTATGAGGTGTGTGGCTTCCGCACCCCTCCCAGGCTGATGGCCACAGCCTGTTCTCTCCGGCTGTTACAGGAAGAGGAGAGTCTGACACTTGTGTTGCCTTTACTGCTCAGTGGTAGACATTCTGTCTACTGGATCTTGAAAATGGTAACATTGGCTTGGATAGAGATAGCTTTTGAGCTGCCATCTTTATACCATTATCCCATTGTATTTATTCCTTTATAACATAGTAGCTAACAGTATTTTTTAATGCTTTTTTATTGTGTTGCTTCAGTCCCTGTCTTTCCTTGACATTTGTTTCATTTGTTCATTTCATTAGACTCCCACTCACCTTGGTCCTAAGCATGTCGATAGACTTCTTCAGAGTCTGGTTTAGAAGGTGCCTGAGCACACATACGAAGTCAAATGTACATACAAGAGGCTTTGTGGGATAACTGATGTATTTGATGCACATGTGCTTATCCCATGGGCTGAAACATCTCTTGAGTCTGTGGTCACACTGCAGCGGGTGTTGAACCCTTGTGCAGATCAGGCTGTTAGAAATGGGTAATTCCTGGATCCGCTTCATCCATTGACTTCTGTAGTTTTTGGAGGGGTGACCGGCAGCTGCAGCCCGACTGATGTGTGTGCCCAGGATGAAGTGTGCGGACTGTGGGTCCCTGCGTGCAGTTGGGCTTCACACAGGAACAATCCACAAGAGTTTCTCAGGCCCTTTTGGGGCAATGACAAGCTAATAGAGCCTTTGCTTATGGATGCCTGTTAGCATCACTGTCTTGCCTGCTAGTTTAGGTTTCCATGATAACCACTCGTATCCACGAGCTATGTTCCTTTCCTAGGCTGGAAACCTTGTAGTAATACATTATTTTCCAAGAGGCAGCACAACAAGGCACTTTTGGCATCCTGAGGTCCTACATGGTCACCTATGTGGTCCTGCTTTGTGGTGCTTTTCAGTTTTAAGCCTGTCTTTGCTGTCTGCGCAGTGGTGATACCCTGTTGGGGAAGGAAGAGTGTAATTCACTTTATCTTGAGGTTTTCTTTGGGCCGCTTGAAGGAGATCTCAGAAAAGGAGGAGATGGACTCATGAACCGTGGACTCATGGACTGAAAGTTATCTGCTTGAAGCTAAATCTTGGGATGCTGAGCAGATTATGTGGCACAGTTGGATCTGAAGGAGTGAGAGATTCCAGATTGTCATTCTCCAGAAAGCAGAGCAGGCGCAGCTGGCTATCAGTTTCATGCAGCAGCACCCTCTCTCTTGGGGTTGTGCTGTGTGTGGTTATTGGAAGGCTAAAGGCAGTTCTTGACTTGCCTCTACTGGTTGTACCCCACTGCGGAGCTTTCCTTTGCCTGTTTTTGCAGCATTTACAGGCTCTTACATCCACACAAGCATTTTTAAAGGAAGCACCTGCTGATTTTTTTGTCTCCACTTAAGAATCATTAAAAGTCATGCCCTAATGAAATAGAGGTTTCTTCCAAGTGGTAGATTGGTAAACAGGGGCACTATCGAGTATTCACATCTGTTGGGTCCCATTGGTGTAAGTCAGCCTAATAGTGTGTTTTCATAATGATGTGAACTGTGTCCAGCTGCTCTGATTTTCCAGATGAAATTGGTAAAACTTAGACGCACAGGACAGATCTAGGATTTTACTGAAAACAACCCACTGGTCCTAGCTCTCAGTCCTGAGCTGGCTGTGGACACACTGCTTTCATCCTGCTTTCATCAATTTTGTTACTCATATATCTAATTTCTGTCCAACTTTGAGGGGTTGGGAATTTTGAAATTGAGACTTGTGTCTGTCTTCTCTGCCTTTGCTGCCTGTGCTGCAAAGACAGGCTGTGACAGTATGAGAGACTCATCTTAAATGACAATGCTGCTGGCAGCGCCCAAAGAAAATGCTCTGAGCAGCTTCTACACAACACAGCAGCAAAAGCGTGAGGCAGGTGCCTGGGAGTCCACAACAGATCATAATTCAGTTCTTTTCAGTCCATTCTTTATTTTCCTTGCTTTTGCATTTGTATCCAGTAACATGTAAATCTTTTGTTTGACCGTTGCTTGTGAAGTTCCCAGTGTTTGTTTTTGGGCGCTCTGTTTGTGTGGTCAGCATTGTGCTTCATCTGTGGCATTGTGCTGCTAGTCTGTTCTCATGCACCTAAAGTGCATTTTCTTCACACTTCATGCTGCTGCTGTTAGCTGTTATGGAAGGAGAATGTACTGTGTATCCATTAAAGTTTTTTAACTGTTCACATCTCTCCCTCTCTAAAGAGCCTTTGCTGGTGTTAATAAGGTTGTATTACAGAAAAAAGTGACACATATTATCTACTTAAGAGAAATGACTACTTGTGCAAACCTGATATGAAGGCTGCCATTATTTACATATAAGCATGAGACCCAAGAATGAGATGTTTGCTTCTAGTGAGTCCTCAATTTCAAGCAAGTATTTGTGTGGAAGACTTTAGAGTATTACTTTCACCTGTAGTTCACCTGCCAGCTTTTTTCCTTGTACATCTGAGGTGGGATTATTGTACTCATGGACCCTAATTTCATCCAGTTCATATAATTTAGTCTGTCTTATTTACTATAAGACCGTCTAATTCACTCAGAAGTTTTAGACGTTGTCATGATTTAATTAACTCGGTCAATAGCTCATCCTGTACTGTCTGACATCAAAGGTCAACTATCAGAACCATTAATTTGTCTGAGAGATGTAAGCTAGGTTTTGCAAACTGGGAGGGATTTGATAAACCAAGCATCTGGCAGTAGTCTACATTTGAATTTTAAAGCCTAAACATGAAGGTTTCTATTTTGTTCTGTACTGTTTTGCTTGAAAGGACACTAATATACCCAGTGTATATGAGCCCACAGAAGCACCGTACAGGGACTTTATTAGCTTGTGTCCAGGCATTTAAGTCCTGTATACAAACCAATAGAGGCTTATAAGAATATATATATATTCTGAAGCATGCAAATAGTAGTAGATTAGATTTTTACTCTGTGCATGAGAAAGTTCCTCAGAGACTTTTCCCAATCACTTAAAATGTGCTACTGCCTTTTCAAAACAGCAAAGGAAATCCCTCTTTAGAAATTAAATTCTTCAAGGTAAATTAATGACAATTAACGGCTATTATTTTGCCTAAGAAAACACTGTATTCTCTACTGGGCATAAAGCTTATTAAATAACTTTCTGCAAATATCTTTCATATCAAAATGACACAGAATTTGCAGAACAATGATGCAGTTTTAAATACCTAAAAAGCTCAATTTATAGAATAAAAATTCAAATCCTTGATGTTAAGCAACCTTCTAGGGGCCAAGCTCTGTTTTTCTTGCTCGGACAGAACTTGAGCTACAGTCAGCAGGATTGCTTTTCATTGCAAAAGCAGCTTAATCTTCTACATTCTGCTTTGTGTTTGGACAAACAAATAGCGTACCTCTGATGAGTTCCTGTGACAAAGACAGGAGCCTTGTTAGGCTGTGGGAAATTGAGTGCTTGATGACTGCCAGACCAAAGATAAGCATGTTGTTGAGGTAGGTTTTATCAAAATAAAGAATATAGTTCAAAGCTCCCCTTAAGTGCACGTAAGTCTCAATATGTGTGCGTACAAAACGATGGATGTAAGATTTTAGAAGTGTTTGAGGAGCAGAGATCGCTTCTGTTAAAGATCTGAAGCTATTGCCATCTTAAAATTCAAACCACTTCTTAACCTGTCTTTCAGGTATCCAAGGTCTAAATGCTTTTCTCAGTATCTTTCGTTGGAGAAAAATATCTCTGCAAGTCTGTACAGTACACCCTTTTTCCTTAGGATGTTTGTTCATGACAAAACTATCCTTCTGAAAGGCAAATCTATGTAAAAATAGCATATTGATATAGTGACTACTTTTAAAAATTTTGACCTGCTGTTTTTTACTAGAAGGGTATTTATCTTGTAATTAAGGGAAAAATATTCCAGAAGGGTTTCTTTCAGCCTCATGTTTTGCATGTTTTGTAACAGTAGAGCTCCCCTAAATGATTGAAGATTCCTGCTCTACTTGAATAACAAAACTTGGATTACTTAAGAAAAAAGCAGACTCTCAACCAGACACTTAATGCTGCTGAAAATTTCGCATCACAAACACAGCTCAGCACATAAGGTAGTTGGTTTGTAAAGAGCCTGAGCAGGCTCCCCGCAAATTATAATTACTGATGTAATAATTACCGTAACTAACAGAAATGTGACTTGACTTTGAGCTTTCTGTCCTCATTAAACTTGTTCACCTTCTCTGAAACTCTCCATGCTGCATGCTAGCACGGAGCAGTCGTATCCCCCGACCCAGCATGAGTCAGGGGTGCAGCCGTGATACCAGCCGTGAGAGCAGTCGAGATACAAGCCCTGCTCGGGGCTTCCCTCCACTTGGTGAGTACATGTAGGCATTGGAGCTTTAAGGGTCAATATTTTTTTCCTTTTTCCCCTTGTTCTGATTGCCCTTTCAAAACACTGCCAGGTGGAATGAGCTCGTTTCCGTCCCCTGTTGGATTCCTGACACACTCCCTGTTTCCAACCCTGTTTCCCTTCTGTTTTCTTCTGCATGCTTCGATTCTGGTTCTCAGCATTTCACTGTTAGCAGGAAAATAGTTTAGTTTGAACTTCTGTAATTTTTATTTCATTAAATCAGCTTGTTATGGGGCTGCTGTGCTGATGGAAATTTATGGGAGAGCAAGCCTTTATTTTCTAGGTCACAGTTAAGTAGCTGATAGGATCGTAGCCTGTTGTTGAGTGACTCTTATTATTCATAATCTGATTTTTTTTACAGCTAGGTACAGTAACAATATCATTTTTATACTATATCCTTCAATAGAAATAGCTCTTTTTTTGCAGAGGTTTCACACGACCCTTGTAATCATGAGATAAGTTACCCATGCTATTTTGTGGGAAACTTTTTCCAACAAGCTAAATTCATGGAAAGGCTGGGATTGTAAAGGAACATCATTAACGTGCAGCTTAAGTGTACAGTACAAATAGAAAATCTCATTATGCTTACTACATGCCGAAGATTTTCTGCGCAGTGCTGAAAGCAGAATAGTTAATGTTTCTGATCAAATACCATATCATAAATTCAACCAAATACATTACTTGTATGAAAGAGTTGTCATCTCGGAAATGAAATATAGTTGATCTCCAGGCCCTCTTCATTTATGTCATAATTTCATAGTTGTGTATGTGCTATTAAAACGGAGAAAGAATCTCTTATAAATTTCATCAAGGCTGAAGAATGGAATTACAGGATCTATTTTGTACATAGTGATACAGATACATGGTGTAGTAAGTGGAACGTAGTACTTTGAGATTAATTCTGCAACTTTAATCCAATAGTGAGAAAAGGTTATGAAAAATGTAGACAGATGAGCAAAATTTTCCTGTTCGATTCTTGTACTTGAAATAATACTGTACTTGAAATAATCCTTTAACTTTGTGTAGACATTCTCACTACTGACTTTGCTATCAGTGCAGAGGCTGTTTATCTTCATCCCTATGAAATCACTGGCAAAAATCCCATTGATTTCAATGGTGTAGAGTGGAATCATCAAAATACTAGAGAGACTTTGGGGCTCAAAACTTCGTTATTTTGAGCTGTAAAATAATATAATGGTAGGAGTTCAGCTTAACATTTGGAACTTGGTTTGTAGCTCTTTAAATATATGAACTTTTTATTGATTAAATGAAGCTGATTTGATACCAGAGCTGTAAAAGGATAGTAGGTGTGCAACTGTAGCTCGTTTTTATAGTCTGTCTAGCTTCAATTTTAGATGAAGCTTTTCTTCTCCAGCCAAAGCGTATAAGCAGGCTGGAATTAAGGGTCAGTGTTCTATGTCATTGTGCTGTAATTTGTTTATTTTATTTAAAATACATTAATTGAAATACTGTCTTTAGCCCTTGAAAAAGAAATGCAGTGTACCAAAATCACAGTTGGTGTGGCTTTCGTACACCACCGCTGCTGCTGAGTCTGCCTTGTACATTAACTATAAAATTTCAGTTATGTATGTCTGTTGCACTGTTTGTAACAAACTTTGGTGTGAGGAGAGGGTCATTTCATTTTAGATCATGATATTTAATTACCTGAAGATTAATGCATTTCTAGAAATACATTGTTATTAGGCCATTAAAATAACATGGGAAGGAAGTAACAAAGTAATAGTAGCCCGGTATAGTTGTTATCTTATTGTCTTTTTTATCTTATGTTTTCATTGAAATGCTTTAAACTCAAATGTGTTCGTGAACGTATTAATTATATGTAATAATTAAGCTGAAAGAAACATATATCAATTTAAGCCAAAACAATATGATTCTATTACAATATTTCTAGAACCCAGTTAATCTTGCATTAATACTAAAATAATGTAATCCTACTGTGCATGGTCTATTTTTGTTCATAATGCTTAACTCGTATATTAGTGAGTTATGCTTAAGCCAGCTACATGTAAACAACAGAATTCTTGCACTTAATGGTATTATGGTCAGTGTCAGCACCGACCTCCTGACCTTGCACACTGCACCGCTTGCTTTTGGGGCCGCTGTGCAGATGGGCACCTCTGTGCACCAAACGTCTTCCTTCCTATGTTAGGAAATGCCAGCAGAGAGTCACTCTCTACTCAGCCTCCTTGCAGAGATGTGATATTTTATTTAATTTTGGTTGTTCCTGTTTCTTCATGGGCCTTGGTCCCACAGTGGCCGCAGGGGCTCGGTGGATGGCTTGGGAGAAAGTAACTGCGAGCTCCGAGTCTTAATTGTGAGGTTCAGCCCATAATCCTGCACTGATTCTGCAAATTTTTAATGAGTTACTTGTAGTGTCAGTGGGATTGTTTTCTTGAATAAAAGCATATGTTCTCCATAGTTAAAGACTACATTGCATATACTTTAATAGTTTTTAGTCAAGCTGGCAAAAAACAAATTTCATTTTTCTCACTTCATTGATTTCTATTTTATAATATTAATATTTGTGTTCATGAATGCTTTGCCTGGAACAGAAGACTTACCATTTTTCTACTGCACATGTATATGCGTAATTGACAAAGCTTATTTGTATTAGAAGGTGATTCTGCTTTATTTTTTTCATTTTCTTGACAGTACTAGTAATAATGTTAAAGCAACAAGGCCTTCAGTCAGTGTGTGGTGATGAATTGCCCAAATGAGCAATCAGTTTCTTGGGTCAGTCGCTTTGAGTTTGGTGAGCATGTCATTGCTAGACACAGGGAAAACCTTTTTAAACAACCTAAATTTCTGCAGTTCGGAAATGGCTGGACCAGCTTTCCCTTTGCTTTCATAAAGAACTTGCCTTTATACTGAATCCAAGAACTGAAAACCTCTCCAAAGGCACTTTGTGATTGATGTGCTGCTGACAACTGGGAATTGAAGTGGGAGCTATATTTGGCTTCATCTCTTCTGCTACTGTGCGCTCCGTTGCTATTAACACTTTGTGTACATGTGGTGTAATTCTAGATGAGTTTCTGATGTGCATATTCAGATTATCTGTGCATATCTGTACTTAAATTCAAGAAGCATGTACGCAAAATTTGTTAAAAGCAAGAGACTTGGGTAGCTGCAGTATGTGTGTACGTGTATTCACTTGGAAAAGAAACCTGACCCAAACACCTATATGCAGTGGTTGGGTGACCTCCCTGTATGACTCTTTCTACTTATGTGGTTGCTCATTCTCTTTGTTAACATTGTTTTATTTATGCATAGGCTAGAATGTTGTGGAAAAATACCTGCAAGCACAAGTCCTCACCATTTACCATGGCTTCACTTTGGGGTTTAGATCAGAGACATCTAAATCCTGCTCTGTAGTTATGTGCTCTACGTTCTCATGGCGGCCGTCTTCCAGATCTGTGGGTCTGGAATGTGACTGATGTGCACTGGGATTTTTTTTTTGCCGAACTTTGCTGGGTTTGAGACTGTTACAGATGAATTTTGTCATGCACTGTCTTTACAGTCATGGGGGAAAGGGGGGGACAGACGGAGGCGTCGCTGTGGGGCTTGCACTGTATCTGTTATGCATTCACATACAGCGTCATCTCCCTGTCACTATGACACACCTTGACTGGTTGCGGTCACGCGCATCCCCTTTGGATTGTGGCATTTTCTGTCTCGGGTTAAATGTGTGTTAATCCTGTGGGTGTTGCCATTCCTTCTACTTGCAGCTTCTCGACGTCATTCCAGGTCCACTAGTGCTCTCTCCACTGCTGATTCTGTTGGGCAGTCAGGTGAACAAGCGCTAACTGCATGAATCCGCTTCTTATACGTAGTCGTGTTTTACACCATCTTAACGTTTGCCATCACGTGCATCAGCCAGCACTTGCCATGTGCTTCTCACCGCTTTGGGGCTTTCTGTTTTGTTTTCTGCTGAGTGTGGCTTTTTATTTTGAATTTAATTTATTGATGTTTTCCTTTTATGTATTTGTAGAAACATTGTGAACAGTGTTTAAACAAAGGGTGATCCAGGGCTTTCTCAATTCTCCTAAAAATTGTTGTGCAGCATGGGCTAAATCCTGACTGAGGAAGAAGTCCTTGCAACTTCTGTTTATTTTTCCTCTTTAGCAGTGTAGCAGTACCCAGTGCCTAGGGCTGGATCCCAGTGGGTTTCACCCCATTTTTTACTAAATATTCTGGACTTCTGTGTCTGCGGGATCCTCTCCAAAATACACAAGAGCAGCAAGAATTAAGCATGAGCTTTCAAAATTAACTTTGGAGCATAACACATGCTGATCCATCCTTCATATAATATTTTGTCGAAAGTACATGGAAGTTGTTGAAAAATTACTCCCTTAGTTTCACTGGGCTTTGCATCAGAAGACTAGTGCTTATGTATAATGAGAAAAATCTGCAGATTCTAATTGCTTCTTCCCCACCTCTGTGCTGCATCCACAGTTGTGGAGAACCTGTAACTGCCTCTGAAATCAGGATATTTCACTGGGAATCTTACAAAGAAATTAATGAGGGCTGCTAGCTTTGGGACAAGAGAGACTTAATTGTGGGGACAAAGATGATGTAGAAGATGAGAGCTTGAGTGCTTTCTTGGAGGCTGAAATTGTGTAAGGAATTGATAATACTGAAAGTTACTTAATTAACCCCTTTCAGGTAGGGAGTGAAAAATACTTGGTTTCTCAAGTCTAGTTAAATGGCTGTCACTTACTTAAAACTCTCAAAATTTCCCTTATTGGGTTACTCGGCAGAAATAGTGCAAGTTGAGTTGATTGGCTTTCTTCAGAGTAACAATTTGAATTTATATTGAACAAAATGAATTTACAAGTTTTAGAATACCTCAGTTGTAATCTAGATTTACAGTGTTAAGCTTTGTTTGCATTCAGCTACCTGTGATAGTCACTTCATACTTGCCTCCTGTGGTACAAAGCATAATCAAATTCTAGATGGTTATTGTGTCCTAAAGAAGGCCAAAATCTCCATAAAAATGCAAAATCAGGCCAAAAATGGTGCTTAGGAATTTTCACCAAGTTTGTAACAATTTAGCCAGGCAGACAAGGGAGTGTGATGAGAGCATACTCTGCTTATTTTTTGCCCAGTGATGTTGGGCTTGTCTGTACTGGTTGTTCCTGGAGCCAAGTGTGTTCCCAGCCCCACGTCAGAAATATGCCGAGGCTTCTCCTGAGGTCTAACTTCTGCACTCAGTATGGCAACAGTATCTTGGGGAGAAGCCCAGAGTGATTTGGGTGTTAAGAATTTAAAGATCACCGAAAGAAGTATTTTGGAAAATTGCTACAGCCGTGGAGACGGATAAAAGCCAGCATGCCACACTGTAATTAATTTGTTTTAAAAAAAGCTCAATTTTATTTCTTTATGCTGGGTATTTAAACTGATCTACAACTGAATTACTTTGTCATTCTGTTCTTCATTTTAAAAACAAACAAACTATCTTCCCTTTTCTAATGTAATACTAAATTTACGTGAAAGCAAATGACAATGGTATATTTTGATACTATGTTATTTCAAAAGTTAAAGCCAATTGCTGATCTCAGTAATACTTGAGTAACGTCATAGAGTTGGGTTTAAATATAAAATAGATTTCCAAACTAGTCTCAACATTTACAGCCCTCGTACTGTATCAGATATCATTTACACTTAGGAGAATACTTGTCTTCTGTACATCTTTGTAGCATGTATCTCTGTAGTAGTGACTTTAGTTTCAATCAAACCTAATGCATTACCGTCTTCTCTGTGCTTCTGTTAAGAGTGTACAGATCTTTCCATTTTAAGCATGAAGGACTATTTCACCTCAATATTTGAAATGATTCTACAACCCAAGTGCATTAAAAAAGGGGATAGTAATAACACATACAACTTTTATTTCTTTGTGAAATGTCATGATTTAATTACTTTTTGGCAGTAGTTCTAAGAAGTTTTATCTTTTTTTTTTCCCCCCCCTTGTAATGTGTTCTGTAGAAAATGTGCTTTTGTTGTAAATCAGAAATGTCTTGTCTGGGTGTGCAACTCTGAGAAACAGTAAATTTTGATAGATAACACTTCTTTCAGAAATAAATACCAGTCTTCAGATTTGGTTTTCCTTTTCCTCCAAAATACTTCAGATTTTTTAGATCTTCCCTATTTTCCCTCAGTAGCTTGATCTCTGACACACTCAGTTAGAGCTTTTTGAACTAGGAGAGTAAACTGGCAAACTTGTCTGATTTAAATTAAAAGGTATTTCAGTGCAGTGGGTTTTTAAAGAATAAAGCAATGAAGTTTTGCAATAAGCACAGTGTAAGCTGCTGAGTATCCTGTTTGACCTCAGTTTTGTAGAAACCCTAGATAGTTACGCTTTTTGATAAGCAGTATTTTTCTTTTGTTAAATTTAAAAATAGATGAACTGATAAGAAACCTGCGTGACTTGGTCCCTCTCTCTTGCTGCTTGATGACTGCCTCCAGTGTGGATTGGCTGAAGGTCTCTTAAATGGGTTCATGCAGCTGAATTCGTTCACCAGTGAATTTGCTGGCAAATCTCTTACTGGCACGTGTGGGTGCAGGGGACAGAGGTGTCAGGTATGTCCCAGGAGGGATATTCCCAGTCGTCCCAAAGACGAGCCCACACAGAACTAAAATTTCAATGCCAAAACCAATCTCTTTTTGCTTGTAGACCACAGCCAGGATCCCAGTAAGGGTCCCGGAAGAACTGTGCTGCCAGACCCTGGCCCCTGATACTTAAGTCACTGGTTCTGTCATATACCTGCTAGAATGCCTTTCTGAATTTGGCCTTTTGCCCAACAAAACTAATTTCAGTAACATTTTCAGTAGACTGGGCAAATGATAAAGTAAACTAATCAGTATTACGAGTGTAAATGGTATTTTAGCCTCAGTCCTGTTACTTTGGATGCCATTGAGAGCTTTGCCATCAAATTCAAAGGGAGAAGGGCATTGTTTGATCAAAAAAAATCAATTTTGTTATATCAGAGCTTTTAAGTGGCATTTAAGCTGCTTCTTGAAAACAGCAATAAAACAAAAATTGGAATCACTTGACAAGCAAATAATAAGCCTTGTTTTTATGCTCTGGGATGTAGAGGGATACTCTACTGGTTAATCAAGCCTTGAAACATAGGCTAATCTGGTCCTTGCCTAAGAAAAAACTGCAGGATGGATGACTGCTCAGGTATTAACATGTTCTGACACTGGGCACGATTCTGTCTCTCTGGAGTTAATAAGAAGCTTTCTCTTGATTTCTGAGTATGCCAAACTGGGACCAGCATGTCTGCCTCTGACATTAAAATTAACTTTCAAACAACTTTTGTGTAAAAAGAAACACAAAATAGATACCTTGCTTTCAAGCTTAAAATAAATAAAAAAAAAAATTTAAAAAGCTGCCCCGAGGACCCAAAATTGTCTCTGGGGCCCAACAAACAATAGTTTGTTTCTTACTCTAATGGAAAACTCTCTAGAGCTGTGGACAAGAGTGCTTAGTGGAAAAGCACTGCAAGTTCCCAGGGCCAGTGGGGAGAGCTGCTTGGGCACCTGATTAGGATTCCAAGTGAATGTGAATTCATTTAACAGTCCTTTTCAATGTTGTCTTTTGTGCAGACCGGTTTGGACTCGGACAGCCAGGCAGGATGCCTGCTTCTGTGAATGCCATGCGAGTCCTGAGCACAAGCACAGATCTGGAGGCTGCTGTGGCCGATGCACTGGTAAGAGGAAAAATACAAAATGCTTCCGACACCGGAAAGTGGCTTGAAGTTACCTGTACGTACGTTCTCCTCTTTCTGAATAGCTTTGTTCTAATTGTGCCAGTGTCTGAATTCTGTAGAGTTGGTTATCTTTTGCTGTTTTGTCTTTGGGTGTATCGGCAGCAGTATTTGTTTTGTTATTCCATGTTAACTCTCCCCAGTTGTTAGCAAACAGACTGCTGTGGCTTGGTGCTAGAGCTACAGGGTGGGTCAAATCAGTTGTTTGTGTTTCACTTGGCTGGGGGTGCTCGGCACCCGGGGTCAGGGATTTCTGTCAATCCCATTACCTGCATGAAGACTGTGTCAGAAAAACACAGTGTTCTCTGTTAGTGTTGATTCCAGATCAAGTTTCAACAAGAACTGAGAATTTTGCCGGTTCCTGCCCTGTGTTACTTGCACCTGGCGAGATACTTGGATCAGCTCGTAACTTGGCGTGCCTGTAATCGGTACCAGCTCATGCAGTTGAATTGAAGAGTATTTGTCTAGTTCGCTGCTAGTACTTTCAAGTATTCGATGCATTTCCAAGTAAATTTCTTGTAATTTTTAAAAGTTTTGTCCTGTATAATCTTACTGTACTATAATCTCTCTCAGTTAGAACCCAGAAAGTGTTTTCTGCTCTTTGGAGTTCTTAAGATAAGCTTTTGGATTTACCTTGGGTATTTGGGAGTGAGAGGATGTGTAGAGATGGGAGCAATTGCTGTACAGCATTAGCTGGGGTATGAATGTACCTTGGGTCTCCCCCAACTCTAGACCTGAGCTGAGGGAGGATTTCCTGATGGATCTTGAGACAGGTATCTCAGATCACTGTGTCCCTGGAGTTTGTGATAGGTGTCTTTTCTCCATTTCCTAGTTCACGTGCCCTAAGGATGGCTAACGTTTTTGATTTTATATTCAGCTATCACCCAGCTCATGTCACCTCCATTTCTAGATGATTATTAGAGTACTCCTAGATAAATGTCACTTTTTACAAAATCCACGTTCTCATTTAAAGAAAGATAATATTTGTGAATATTGTAAAGTTCGGGCTCTATGTAATAGATGACACGGTTGCATTTAGTGGACTGCATCATTACTGGGCGTTTTAATTACCAAATACAACAGCTTGTGAGCCAATTTCTGCTCACGGCACCTCAAATTTGCTACCAGAGCAGTTCAGGGTGTAATTATAGGTGATGGTTTTGCTTCTGTAAATGGAATCAGGGTGTATCCCTGAATGTGAGCAGTTGCCAAATGCAGGTTTCTTGAGGGAGGAGAGGGTCATAGTGTTTCAGTTCCCTGCTGGTCACTGAGATCTTTTTGGATGTGACTTAATCTTTAGCTAGACCTAGAGTTCCTTTTAAAATATTCTACTTTTTAAACTAAATGACATTAACTGGAATGTTAAAATCTTGGAGTTGAACACTTAAAAAGGGAATCCTTAAGTCTGGTTGGAAGCTAAGTGTTGCTGCTGACTTGACTGATCAGTCTGAATTTGTATGACTTTAGGGGATGCAATGTGATCTTGTTGTCCCTTCTTTCTCACCACCCCAATTTGCTCTTTTTTTCAGTTGTCTTCTCACAACAAGCGATTTACAAACTTTGTTCAGGCTCCTTTTCAGAGAGTAATGTAATGCCAGCTTTCACCCAGCAGTCTTGTTTTCAGAGGAGTATTTTTTTTCCCTGTAGTAGGAAATGAAAAGAACTTCTCCAAAGATGGCTTCAGCCAAATACTCAGTTAAAACGCAGTGGGTCATTTTGTAACCTCTGTCCCCTGTGAACAATTCCTATTGGATCCATTACTTCTGTCTGAGAGCTGGACTTGGCCTAGACCCACAATGTCTATACTGGGAATCAGTGTTTAGATGTGTCAGAAGAGCTCAAAGAGTGATGGAAACTTTGCAGTTAAGTAAGGCCTTTAAGTCAGGGAAGCTAAGCTTCAAAAAAATGAGGTGTAAGAACTGTGAGTTGAAAGAGAACTTGGTTAACTGAAGTTGATTAAATGTGCTGTACTGTAGATAGTGGTTTCCTGACACTGGAATTTCTTTCCAAGACTCTGAAATCAACTGCTACTTGGAAATAAATCGTTACTGAAAACTGTTATCTTCCAGAGCTGCATTTCTGGAAAGTAAGCAAAGAGATGCTGTATATAGATCTGTCATTAAAAAAATTATCAGATAATCTCATTCCCAAGCTTCTTAATAGAAATTGTAGGCTATGTGAGAAGTGCAACAGTTAGGAGATAGCCAGGCATTATTATACCCGCTTTTATTTTGCTTAAACTGTATTTATTTTTTTTTTAATTTGCTAAGACACATTTGCTATACGTTTTTGTTGCAAAAACAAACCCTACATAAGCTTCTGACATAATTCTCTATGCTTTTTCCCACCCTTCAATATTTTCCTGCCTACAGCTGTTAGGAGACTCCAGGAGCAAGGTACTAGTGCTTTCTTGACTTTTTATTTCTACTTTCCAACTTTCCCCACCCTATTGCTATCGCCCATGGTATTGCACTTGAGTTAATTTCTATGCTTCAATCCTGCAGTCCTAGTGGAAGCAAAACTCTGCTGGCTTCACAAGTCCAGGAACTGCAGGACTGGACACTGGGAGGAATTCTGTAGCAGACACTTTAGAATATAGACAGTCTTCTTCTGATACATTGTCTTATCAACGCTGTTCTGTTAAGGCTCGTTTGAGAGTTTGTTTTGTAGTATAGCATACAAATTGTTTTTCTGTCATAAGTAGTCAGATATCTCTTCTGTAAGGATTGAGGCTGTCAAAGACATCCCTAAGGGAATTAGCTTCTCTTAATTCCATGCTATGGAAATGAGTGGGATTTGAGTACTCAACTCCCTTAGCGATCTCTGGAAAAATCCTGGCCCAAACTAACAGAGAAATTGTCATTTTCTATATCCCAGTGCATTTCTAGAGTCACTTCATTATCAATATCAGAGTGACTGTGCATGCCAGCACAGATTCCTTCAGCTTCTTCTTCCTTATTTTTTTTTTTCTTGGAGTAGATGTTGTGTCATCGTAGAATCTCTAATAATGGAACTGGCCATTACTGACAATAAAATAACATAGGATTTCAGTACCAGTAGCTAATTCCTCTGGGCATAAGTATCTCACTTTCATGCTGGGGAGGCAGGCCCTGCTCCTCTTAGTCACTCAGATAGTCTCATTGAAATCCATGGGATCTGTCTTGCTCTGCTGTGAGAGGTAAGCAGGCAGTGCTTCGTGACATCTTTAAAACACTCATGTCACTAGAATAATAGCATTAGTCTTCCTTTTAGTGATTACAGATGGAATGTTTTTCTTTTGGCATTGATGTAATTGTATATAACTTACTGAGTTTCCCCTTTTCCAGAAAAAGCCAGTGAGAAGAAGATATGAACCCTATGGGATGTACTCTGATGATGATGCTAACAGTGACGCATCAAGTGCTTGCTCGGAGCGCTCCTATGGTTCCAGGAACGGGGGCATTCCACACTACCTGCGGCAGACGGAAGATGTGGCTGAGGTCCTGAACCACTGTGCCAGCTCCAACTGGTCTGAAAGGAAAGAGGGGCTCATAGGGCTTCAGAACTTACTGAAAAGCCAGCGGACACTGAGGTGACCTTGATAGTTTTATAGTTTCAGTCATTCATGAGAGAGAGCTATAGACAGAAGTCAATAGTATGTACCTACCTTAGGGAGACAGACGGTGTCTTTCACACCTGTTGAAGGCTTTGTCTCCACAATGTGAGACTTGAATTATTTTTTGGAAAAACTCTTGCTATGTCATCAGTATAATTCATGCTAATTTTTAGCAGTGATATAGAAAGTACTCAGGTAAACATGCTGTCTTCTCTTAGCTTTACTCTGTCTCATGAAGACATCGAATGGTAGGTGCTTGTTGCAGCACAGTGAGATTTCTCATAATGATGGTATTTTAAATGCGCTCAAAGGGTGGTACCCTTTTGACAGTAGTCTGTTTGAACCTTCAATTATTTCTTTTTCCCCAGCTACTTAGTTGGTGAAGCGCAAACACTGACTGCACTTATTCTAAAATGAGTCAGGGTGTGTGTTTCAAAGATGAGATCAGACAATGCTCTCAGTATGTTGGGTATACTTTGACTATGAAGACTGTGTTAGGTATAATTATAGACATTATTTGTAACTCTTGAAAAATCTTCTATCAGGAGCTTTAGTCTCCTATAAATGATGTAGTTCATAATGTAGAGGGAGGTTTCTGGAGGCAAAAGAATAGGTGTAGCAACTCTGAAACTTTGCTTTATGATAGGAGAGGCAGACCTTTTTCTCTTGTTGAAAGTCGTGTAAGCACTTCAAACACCTTTGGTGTGTCACGCATCAAAACAGATCTTAGAATCACTCAGTAGTCATGTGGAAGCTTTGTATGGCCACAGGTCATGTTAACTGAAGTCAACTGACTCTTAGGCCACAGGCTTCTCACCTTTGGTTTATGGTGAAAGTATTTGAAAACAAGCTGTTTATCTCTTGGCTCCTTTGAAGATGACATTCGCAAATAGCTGCAACATTTTTATCTTCCTTTTATGAAAGTTATGTACTTAAATTATGACCAAGTTTATAAGTAGTTGTTGTATGGTTTATAGCCCACCTGCTTAGGTTTCTGCAATTGTTTCCATTTTAAAAGGCCTTCACACTGGCTGAAAATGTTTGATGGTTCATGTTGCCAGGCTGAAAGAAAGTGTGCTGAGAGCAGGCCTGGAAAGGTTATTCTCTTGTCATCATAAAAATATTCTTGCACTTCACATGATCTGATACAATCCTTAAGTGGGAAGTGCTACAGGTTTTTAATATGGGTAGTTAGAGTCTCTAGATCAGAGATGCTTTTTGATGTGGTCTATTTACAAGTCTTGTAAAAGCTATTTCCCACATGTCTACTGTCTTTTTTATTTTTCTTTATTTTAATGAACTGTCTGGAAAAACTGTGGTGCCTCGTATAGCTGTATGAAAAAATTGGGTGACTGATTTTGCCACAAAGGTGTGTGAGGATTATTACCAAGGTTTTGAGTGCTGTTGAAGATAGTTTCAAGGGAGGAAATGCTGAAGAGGCTGGATGATGGGCTGTTTATTGAGATCAGTAGCTCTTAGCAGAAATTCTGGTCGAATTAAACCGTTGTTTTCAACGCTGCTGGTTGCAGTGTTTGAACTGTACTGCTGTCACTAGTCCTTCAACCTAGCTGGTTTTTTAAATTTGATCCTGAATAATTCATAAACCTCTCCCAGAAACTACACCCCTGCAGAGTTATTTTCTTAATTTGATAGTGGTTTTAGTTCTCTAGATTATATTTAATTTTGGTTTGCATTTGGTCTGCTTCCTCCTTGGTTCAGGGCTGATCTGATGCCTGTTGTAATGATTAGATTTTATCGTCCTGTTAGTTCCCACAGCAGAACATCATCGAGGTCGTTGATCCAAGGGGCAAGTCTGTCCGTCTTCTAATTAAACCTGGTGTCTCCTGTTGTGGTGTACCAAGTTTAATAACAGGCAGTGACGTGCCTAGGTTTTCTTTAGTACACTGAACTGAAAGATGGTTGGTCCTCTATTAGCTGGGATTTGCTTATCCAGAGAGATGTGCGTGCAAAGTGGTCCGGCACTTACCTGTCGTCTTTGTTTTATACAGCTTCATGTGGCCTAGTTCTCTAAAGTCTCCCCATATAAGGTCTTTTGAATAAAACAAGACCGTCGAGTTCCTTAAGGAAATGTTCTTCCATTGCTTGTTTCAATTTCGTGCTTTCATTATTACCTCGGGTCCATGAGCTTTTAGAAAGAGGCACGCTTATATTTGCTGTCTTCATGTAAACTTTGCCCAGAAAGAAAATTCATTAGAGTAGCAAATAAGACTTCATTCAGAGAGCTGCAATCTGCATCAAGTCAGGAGAGCGTTGTAGAGTGCTCCTTTTGGGCAGTCTTGTCCTGAATGAAGCTGACAGTTTGCTATGGTGTTGTTACAAAGACTTCCCTCCACATCAGACTTCTAAGACCATTGGTTTTAGGCTCTGTTAAAATTTGATCAGCCTTTCATACATAGGTTTATTTGAAAAAATGTCCTTTTTTACTTATAAACAAAGTGACATAAAATATCTGTAGACTACTAGCATATTCTGGCCTGTTATTTTTAGTGATAGAGAGAAGTTGCTGGACTGTAGAATTAATGTCTTTCTGGAAAGAGAGCACCTGTAGTCAGAATGTGACTGTTCTCTGAGCAATCCGTGTGCACTTCATTAGTTGCTCTAGTTTCGTAGTAATTGTGGGAAATACCTAATTGCATCCATAGTATGCAGGAGATGTGACCTAACTGTCTTGCTCTGTTTTTGTTTGCACAGTCAACAAGCAAAACTTCTGCATTCTTTGACAGTTTGTCTTGCAGGAACACTAAGACTCGTGTTTTCAATACATTGCAAATAAGAACTGGGACCAAAGAGTTCTACATTTGAAATCAAACTGACTATCTTATGAAGGGGACCCCTAAATCATTCTTTCTTCCCCGGGCTTAAAGAGCATTACTGGGCACCTAACAATTTCCAGTAGTAACTTAGATTGTGCATAGATTTAATTATATTCTAACTTATTGGGTTGCCTGCTTCTAAATCTATTTTCTGTTTCTATATGTTTGTCTTCTCGGTGTGCCTGCTCTCAGATTTTGCAGTCAGTTCTGGTGTCTGTTACATCAGTCTAAAATCACACCGTATTCACTGAAGCAACTGAGAGTTTAGACCAAAATATTTATAATTACTATATACCCAAACAGCATGATAGTTCTGATTTTACTTGTAAATTTGAATTTCCTGACGCAAAGTAGACTCCAGAAACCTGTTCCTAAGCTGCCTAAGACCTGTGTTTCAGTGAGTCAGTGACCTTGATGCAGCAGATACGTGCATATTTCAAGTTGTCTTCTGTCATGTAAAATATAGAAGAAAGTAGAAGCCACAGAAAATGTCTGGCTTTTGATTTCAAAATACATTTATTAAATTTCTTAATGTAAGACTGGTGATCCCAGCAGTTGAACTGAAATGCCAGTTAAGGCTTTGCCTAGATGCACAGTTTTCATAAGTATGACTTAAGTAACATTTAAATAAAGAGGGTTAGATCTTTTGGGTGTTAATGTTTATTAGGGGTTTTTTTCTGCAACCGAAATTTTCAGCATTAACTTCATGTTTTATTTGTGTATTTTAGCCGAGTCGAGTTAAAAAGGCTATGTGAAATATTTACTCGCATGTTTGCTGACCCTCACAGCAAGGTAAGATCACAAAGACTTGGCTCACTCTCTGACATTACCGTGTGCGCACATTTGATCCTGCTCTGAGACGAATATTTCGTATTTCCACCCCTGCCATCTGCCGGGGAAGCTGGCGTTGATAAACCTTGGGTTTTATCCATTTTACAACGGAGGGATGGGTCTCAGTCTCTCTTATGTTGCTAGGAACTGATTACTCCGTGCTTCCCAAGGAGCAGCCTAATGCCTTTCAGATGTCAGCTCCCGGAGTGAGAAGATGGTTTTATCTGTGTTTCTCTAGGGAGTGTCTTGGTGCTACACAGTAGAGTGAGGCCCATGAAGGGTAATGAGCTGTAGTTCAGCAGCATGGTCTTAAGCCACTTTGCCTTCTTCAGAGGTTAGTGTTAAAAAGGCCATGGCATGAATTTACAGACAGCTCTTAAAAAGGACCAGGCTGGGGAATGGGGAGCTTGGGCTCAATGGCACGTTGAGACTCAGTGGTTGACAGGTAAATGGTAGCAGAGAGAAGGGAAGGAAAAATTAGTTTCATGCCCTTTCCTGAGGGCAACCAGTGATGGCTGGGTAAAAAACCAAAACTTCTGCAGTTGGGTTAATACAGTTTGAGAATTGTATGAATATTTGTACTTCAGGCTACTTGGTAAACCAATTTTAATAAACATTTGTTAAGTGGAATTCCTCTGGGCAGGCATAGTCACCTCTCACAGGTCTTGCATAGTTATAGTCTAGACAAGCCGTCCCATAGGTCTCACCAAGGGTAGCATTTCCTAACTGTAAGGTCTTAATATTTTTGGTTCTCAGAGGTTTAGTGTGTGTTGTGGAAAGGGTGAAGGTATAGCTATATACCTGCAAAATATTTCCAATTTCTGAGTGAGGTGGGGATTTATTGCACACTAGACTCAGGTATGTCCTCTGTGGCAGTGCTGATCTGTCATCTCACTGCTTTTATAGAGTTATTGCTACAAACTCATTAGTTGTGGTGTTGAACATATATAAACTTCATTGCGTATAAATGTATATAAACATGTTACTTTCATGACTGAGAAGACTGAATCTGATCCAAGGTATATGTTTTAAGTGGTTCCACTGAAGAAGAAATTGTGTTTTAAGGAAATGTAAACTTTGAATGAATGCATCTTTTATCTGTTGACAAACTGCATCTGAACGACCAGCTTTGATCACTATGTGTGCTAACGAGTGGTTTGTTTTGTTGCATGGCCTGCTTTGCCGTGGAATTCACAACAGAGAGTAAGTGTACTCGACCCCCTTCCTTCATTCGTTTCATGTGGTATTATAATATGACACATTTTAGATGTGTCTTGTTTTAGATGTGTCTGGTTTTGTTGTTGTTTTTCCCTCCAGAGCAACGTAGTCACTAAAATCATTCATTCTTGAAACTGTCTATAACAAAATCATCCTGAAACTCAGATTGTAACCCCCTTCCCTTTTGATTATTTTTATTTAAAGCACCATATTCCTTTCTGTGACACTTGCTTTGTTTATATAGGTCTTCAGCATGTTTCTGGAAACCCTGGTTGATTTCATCATCATTCATAAAGATGACTTGCAGGATTGGCTTTTTGTTCTCCTGACCCAATTGCTAAAGAAAATGGGAGCAGATCTGCTGGGGTCTGTGCAGGCAAAAGTTCAAAAAGCTCTGGATGTCACCAGGTAGAGTACTCAGATGGCAAATGTTATGGAGGTTTCTGCAGGATTACAAGAAGGCATCTAATGAACATTTTAGAAACCCAACAGTGCCATGTATTTTGAGGGCTCAATCTTGATGAATAGCAGAATAAAGGAGAACAAAGTCATGTCACAGTATTTCAAGCATTGAATTGAAAAGGCTTGTCTCTTTTTTAAATAGATAACTTTAAAGTGTAACATTTAAAACGTGTAACTGATTAATTTGATTTTTTTTGTGTGCATGTGCTTAGATATCAATTTTTTTTGACTCATGGGAAAAAAATATTTACAGTATTCAGAATATGAACGGTGCTTTGCCACGAAGTTCAGAGCATCTTTCATGTTTTTCAAACTGCAAATAACAATAATGTCGAGGTAAGACCTTGAATGTTACTGTGATTTTCACACCAATTCTGTAGTCCATATCCTTTTCTAAGGATTTCCAGAATAGGACACTGTTATGATAAAGGTCAGTTTATCCTGGAAATAGGAAGATGAAGAAATGGACAGGTGCTCAAAAAAATGGATAAATGTACGGAGAGTATTGAATGACAGTGTATAAAGGTGTTCATTTGGCACTTTTCTCCAGTATTAATAATCAGCTGATCATTAGACTTGGAGTTTCACTGGTGGATGGTAAAGCTAAGAAAAGCATGATAGGTGTTGAAATCTATTGTGTAAGCTTTAATGCATCAAGGTATTTGGTCCTGAAAATTTATGTTGTGTTTCTTTTTTGCCTTTTTTTTTTAACAGAGATTCTTTTCCATTTGATCAACAATTTAACATTTTGATGAGGTTTATTGTAGATCAGACCCAAACACCAAACCTGAAGGTCAGTATCAAAAGCTTTTTCACTAAAGCAAAAGCATCAATGTGGTTATCTTAGCTCACAATGTCAGGCGTACCATAAAAACTCATGATAAGTTAACTAATTTAAGTACCTGTATAGAAATAATATTGACAATTTTGATTAACTCCTTTTGGTTTCCGTATTAAGAAATCTAAATATCTTTAAAATATAACCCTATCACTTACTACAAGTGACAGGGCTGGGTTTTGAGTGGTCTGGAGTGTATTGAAGCTTACACATGAAAAATTTCTCTTCACCCTGGTTTTGGTGGGAACAAAACCTGGCTGTGCGGGACAGTAAGGACCAGACACTGTCTGTATGACTGGGAAGTTGGGACCCTAGGCATTCCTCAACAAGTGCTTTTCAAACAAATCCGATACAGCCTGTGTAGGGTTTGGAGGAAAAAAACAAAAAGGCACTTTCTGTTACTAAATCCTTCCAAAGGGATACTGTTGTGCAGACTGTTTTTCAGGAGGTTGCTGTTTCTAGGCTATAGGAGCACTGTAAACTATGGAAGTCATAGACATCTATCTTCCAGAGATGAGAATATACAGGATGCCAAATGACTCAAGTGTTCTTTCATCAGGCTCCCAAATTTTGGATCTTTCAAGACTCTAGCATGAGGCATTTGGTTTGAGACCAAAAAAATCTATCTGGCACCTGGAGCAATAACCACTGGTGGAAACAGTGTGGTGATTTGCTTATGCCAACACAAAAGAATATATGTTTTTCAGGCCAGTTCTGATGTACCATTCTAGACTCTTGCTGTGCAAAATGTATCTAGGGTAGAAAGTTGCTTGATTTTTGAAACAAGCCACGGAAGTGTGTCACAGGGGTATTTTTCCCCCCCCATCGTGACATAAATCTTTTCAATCTGTAGTGGTATCAGTTTATTATGGGGTTAATCGGTCTTTGCCAGCTCATGAGCTTAACAAATCTCTTTTCACTTCTCAGGTTAAAGTTGCTATCTTGAAGTATATCGAGTCCTTGGCAAGACAGATGGATCCGACAGACTTTGTGAACTCCAGTGAGACAAGACTTGCTGTATCTAGAATTATAACTTGGACAACAGAACCAAAGAGCTCAGATGTGAGAAAGGTAAGCTGGGGTGATGAAGTATTGGTAGTCATTATGACTCTTCAAAAAAAAAACACCCCAAACTGACCAAAAAAAATAGCTGAAAGTAGTCATAAAGGTAATTAAAAAAAAAAATCAATGATTAGATTCTAAATTTTAAAAATGGATTTTACACGCCACGCTGTCCAAGCCAAATTGCCAATTCAGTAAAGTCATGTTTGCAAAGCATGTTTTCATGTATTTTTTTTTGTAGTAGATACTTAGCCATGTAATTTCAACTACTATTACCGTGCAAAAAGAGATGTGCTTTTTCCTGAGCAGGCTGGAAATATCTCTACTTTTTTTTTTATTTAGGTGAAGGCTTCTTTGTAGACATAAAATGAAATCTAGTGCAATTTCTGTGTTATAATATTGGTAAAAGAAAGTAAACAAATCAGTAAGCTGACAGGGGCTCTCAACTCTTTTAAGAGCTGTGTGTTTATCTCAACCTGGGAAAAAATGACACATTTAGGTCAGGCCTGGGTAGTACAGTTACCTTGTTCTTTATCTTGCTCTAGATAGAAGTGTCAGGCAAGCTAAAATGGGGCAGATAGTGATACTCATCTCTCCCAAAAGGAAAGTGAGACTTAGTTTTATGTACCTGGCATCTGTAACACAATTTAAAATTACCTTCTCTTCCCAATCTAGATGTAGAAATAGATTCCAGTTCAGATTAAAGGCTTTGAGATGTGCTCGGATTAAAAACAAACAAAAAACTTCAAGCATTTCAGAATATGAAAACTGTATGAGATTTATACACCCTACCTGCACTTAAAATGTTGAATTAATACTAGAATAACATGCTGTTTTATAATTTGGGGAATAAGAAAATTATTTTTGATGTTAGTGATTGTTTGATTCTGAAGAAAAGATCACTGGGTATCACAGATGCTGCAACTGCAGCATTACCTGAAAGCTGACACAAGGTTTCAAAGAAGCCTTTTGGGTGCATGGTCTTTGCTTTCTGCCATAAAGCTGATTGGGTCTGGAGAAAAATCCTCTTTTCTGCAGGGAGTATTCACACCAGTGTGACTGAAATTTGCTTCTGCAAGATAGTCTGCCTCAGAAAAAAAAGCACTTAGATCTAGAATATACTTTTCCATTTTGATGCTTCCATGTACAAAGTCAGAAAGAATTAAACGGGCAAAGAAGCTGCATCTCTGCTACAGTTCAAGTAAACATCAAGCAGTTTACTCTGTTGGTGGTCTGTGAGAGGAAGTTGTAATTTATACGTTAAAACCAAAAATCTCTGCGTATTGCTCAGCAAAAGAAATATTCCACCATTAGGGGTCGTCGTTGCTGCATGTAAAACCGAGTGAAGAGTGTCTGCAGCAGCTATAGAAACGGGCTGTTTGCTGTAAAGCTGTGGCATGTGGGGAGTGGGTGTTCACAGTGTGATCTGTTTCAAAGACTTGCAGAGCTCTGGCAAAACTTCCAGCAAACTCCACACCTGAGCAGTACCTGGGCAAGTGCCTGGGGGCTGACAAGAGATTACTGAATCTAAATTATTTTTATTAAACCTGCATATGGCTTGGATTTGCCTCTGATGCTTATAGCTTTCAAATAAATTATTACACAGTTAAGCCAACTTAGGCTACTAAAAATGAATGCCCAGGTGATCTTTATTTCATCATGCTATTGCTGTACTATGATTTTATTAAGAACATAGTACAAAGCACAGGCTTCAGAAGAAACACTGCAGTGAAGGGTTTATAAGTAAACGTTTGTCATTATCTCTGTCAGTTCTGTAGTTAACAGACTAATAAATTCATTACGCAGTAACGAACTGGATTAACAAGAGCCGACTCAGATAAAATGTTTTAAAGAACTCTTCCTTTTTTGGAGACTGTAACTTATAAAAAAGTGCCTTTTTTATCTCAAGATGATTACTTTAAGTATCAGAAGATTCTACCCTTGTGAAAGTTCTTATGTGCCCTTCAAGATCTGAGGTTTTCAGAGTTCAAAGCAGACCTAACATTTGGAGACATCACATCTTAGAGATGGAGGTTGAGATTATGGGGGAGATAGAGAAGAAATAAATCGATATTCAAATGATCACAGTACTACAAAAGGCCTGTAAAAAGTGTAAAACAAGGTGATTTTTTCAGTATTATCTGGATTTGAGACCACTGATGCAATCAACTCAGCTCCTGCAAGCTGACAAGAGCACGTTTTATTTTTGGTTTTGAGGAGTCTTGGTTGACATAGTGCAGTCCCTGCATATGACTGCAGCTGACTTGGTGGAACAGCGATGTCTGATGTCAGTGCTTAGCTACTCTTCGGATGAAGGGACCCTTTTCCCCAAAAAATGTAGTTCTGCAGCCAGTGTGGCTCCTACACAGATTTGAGTTACAGAATGCTACCTTAATGCAAGTAGCATCTGTGTGTGCGTGATGGCCACGCTGTTCTATCTGGATTTTACATTTGAGCAGATGCAGGTAAAACAAGCTTGCTTCATGCTGATGGTGAAATATATAAATGACCTCTGTCAGGGGGGAAGATGTGGTTGCTGTGTGCAAATGGCAATTAGCTGTGCAAATCTGATCCTATGGTAGCAATCAAGGGCGTCTATTCAAGAAATGGGTTATATCTTCAGTCAACAGTGAGATTATCCTTTTATTAGTGATCATCTGTCTATTCAGTATGTGTTGTGGTCGTGGAGGTCAGCCCTATCATGCTAAGGCACTTCAGAAAATTAAAACAGAAACTGGCTTTTAGTCCAAAAAACTTTTTCAAACTGAATGATATGGCATTATTAACAAACTTTGCATATTCTTAGGAGGACTACTTGAGCACGCTTAACCTATCTCACACCTGACTGGAACTACAGATCACGTTTTATAGCTAGTGAAATCAAAAACTTAGTCAAAGGAAATGCTGTTGTCCATAAAGCAGTTTATGTTCTCGTATGGAATAATATCTGTAGCTAAATGTAAGCTCTGTTATCACAAGAAAAACATGATGTACTTTAAGGAACATAGAGCTGGTATTACAGAGTGTCATTGATAAAATGTCATGATTCCCTCTCAGGGCAGAAACCATTTAAGCTGCTGATAGTAGCCATGAACTATGTACAGTCAAAATTATTATCAAGCTTTGTTTAAAATAAGGTGATCTGCACTGTGTTACGGGTAAATATTTGTCTTGTTTTAAAGACTGGTAATACTTATGGGTGTTTACCCTGCATTCAAGTTAAGATTTACTTCCTGCAAGCAGTGCTAGAAGAAAGGTGAAAGGCATTTGTTTTCTATGCTGAACATAAGCCATTGGGTAGCAACAGGTCCCACAGCACCACGTGGAGATCTGGGTGGGATGTTGTTCCAGTGCAAGGGGAGGGCCAGTTGGTGATTTTTGCACAGACAGATGACTCCCTGCATTTTCCCCAAGCAGAACATATGAATGGGCACGGTAGAGATCAGGATTTCATATAACAGAGCTCTAATTTTGATTGCAGTAGAGTCTAACCTTGATCCATGCACTTGACTTTCCTCTGCCTTGGTTTATTTTTCTCTGTAACAGGGCATCAATTCTGATTTTTCTTTGGAAAATGTTTAAGATTTGATGAAATCATTTTGCAAAAGTCAGTGAATTACCACAGGGAAAAGTGACACAATGGAAATGCAAATAATGCGATGACGGGTCTGAGGACATTTAGTCAGTAACTTCAGCATGTTATCACTAATACTGCCAGTAAAATCATTGTGCAATCCTTACATAGGTAAAGCACTTATTGAATTTGCATGACAGGTTTGGGCTCTGTGTGGGAAAATACTTTGATCTTGGAAAAGAGCCAGCAGTTTGAGAATGAAAATTTGAATGAACCTTCTGATTTGACTCTGCCCAAAGCCTAACGAAGCCTCCTGTCCAAGGCTCAGGTGAACGGAAACTTTTATTAAACATAGTGGTCAGCATTTGGAGGGGTGGAGTTGTCTGTGAGGAGAGCACACAGGATTTTAGTGTTTAGGAGGTGCTTGTATAGGCTGAAGGGGACGAGGCCACCTGAGGTGAAGAGCCAGTGCCATTGCCTGCCCTCTTGTTAATCAGCCAAGCTCTGGTCTTAATGATAAATAACAAGATCTGTATTGCCAGAGCATCGTTGGACTACTGATCTTAGGGAAGAAGAAATTTTTCCTTTGTGCCAGGTATCTTGACTGGCTTCTCTTTTGATGAAACATTCCTACAGTAGTTTTATTTTACAAGTCTGAGTGCATTTTGCCACGTGTACATCGTGTTCTGCCTTCCACTTACAGAACTGGGAAAATTTTTTTCTTTCAACCATCTCATTGCTGAGTTTGGCCAAGCTGCCCTTGAATACAGGCAGTGGATGGGACTCAGTAAGGAGCTAGAACCAGTGCAATGAATTAAAAAGCCCGGGAGATTGCTTGTGTTACTGTAATTTGCATGAAGATGAAGTCCCCCTCAGATTACCTGGGGTTCAGGCCCTCCTTGGATTGGCACCACTGGTTTGCAGGGAAGGTCTAGAGTTGTCCAAAGAAAACGGGTTTGGGATCAGATATTTTTCCTAAAACTGATTTGTTGAGAAACTATTTCTGAATTTTACTGGAAGATGATGAAGATTTTAGAGGGAAAACTTCAGGTCAACACATTCTTACTATGCTCCAAGAGCCAATGAAGATGTATTTACTACTTCAACTAGCAGTCCTAGATGTCTTTACTTGAGAAATAATGATGTCTGTGTGATAAGGAAGTTGTATGTATCTATCTATCAGTAAAGCCTAGAACAAGTTGGGTGAATATTGCTGTGATGTCTGTAGGAGGGCCAGTGATAGATAGAAAAGGAAATGCTGCTGAGGAAATGAAATTGGGCTCCTTTGCAGCGTGATACCACGAGACCTCTAAAATCTCTCCTGGAGCTTTAATTTTCCATCTGGCATGAGGCTGATTTCAGCAACTCTGGGACAGAAGCTTCACTGTAAAAGCATTCCCAAAGACTCTTGGTGAGCTGAAATGGCACCATTTGT